GTCGCTGCTTATATGTGCCAGTAGAAATGCTGAATGAAAAAACAACAGCAAAAAACGGGAGTGGGGCGTTTACGCATGGGGGCGGGGGCCATGGGTTGGACGTGAGTAAAGCTCTTCGTTCAGGAATTGCTTTTGAGTCATATTCAAAAATATTCAAAAGTAAAATAAAATAAATCACAACAAAGCTCAAACTGCCTTGCAGTAGGCGGCCAGTCTGGGGAACTGGTGTGAGCCAGTCAGCTTCCCTAATTCAGACGGACAGGCAGACAGACAGATAAACAGCTCAGAGGCCAAAGTCCCAGGAGGAGCTGAGGAATGGGCCTGTGGGCAGCCAGCGCCCCCGCCCTCCCCCAGCCCAGAAGACAGCCCTGCGCCCGCTCACCCAGACCCCTGCTGGCAGGGAGCACAGGCTCCCAGTTCTTCCCGGAATGAAGGCTTTCTCTCAGTTCATTGCAAAACGCCCTGGCTGCAGCTGCAAATGGGAATCCAGAAGCACCCCCTGGAGAGAGGTGACCGCTTCCTCGGGACACTCTGGCCTGGTGCAAGGCCTGCAGCGGGAGAGGGCAGAGCAGGCCAGGCCACTCCCAGCCCAGCCCGGGCCCCACAGGGCAGCCACGTGCTAACTGAGTGCCACATCTGCTGGGCCAGCCGCCCAGGTGTGGTAGTGGTGGATGTCGAGAGCCTCCCCACACTCATCCCATACTTATCCCTTGGAGCTCCCCACCAAGCCACTCTGGACGCCTGTGGTGCTGTGCAGGGCTTGTTGAGGGAGAGAAGAGAGCTGCCAGGGTAAGGTCTCCTCGGCCCCCAGCCCATGTCCCCAAGAGGCAGGAAGCAGCATGATACACTAGCAGGGCACTGGGCTGGTGGATGGTCTGGGTCTGCCACCACGATGGGTCACTGAGGCAGATCCCCTCTCTCTGGACTTCAGCTCCTTCACCCGTGTTAGAAAGAGATTTCTTAGCATAAGCCTTTATTTTCAAACATCATCTTACTTAGAAACTGACACATAGAGAAACCAGTACTGATTCTTCTGGAGGGAGGTGGGAGAGGCCAGAGAATCCTTGCCCCAGTGCCCAGCCCCAGCCCCTGGGCACTTCCTCAGACCCCTGGCCCTCTTTGAAATTTACAATTCTGCTTCTTCTCAAATTCCTGGTGGTCACAACGGTCCTGATCCCCCCTCCTGGCCCCTAGCATGTAGACTCCTTGCTTTGCCAAGGACTTTCAAGTCTCGGTCTCAGTGAACACCTGAGTGCTCATTGCTGGCTGGACACCTTCCTGGAAAGCCACAGGCCTCTCGCACCTGACTTGCCCCAGAGGAATACACCTCTCCCCTTACAGATCAACCTCTACTTCTGGGTTCCCATCTCTGGATAAGGGTTTCCAGCCACTCTAGCAACCAAGGCAGAAACTGTAGCCTTTTTCTTCCTTCACACCTGCCACCATCCAAATCTGTGCTGTCCTCAGATGCTTGCAGATCAGCCCTTCCTCTTCACCTCACCTCTGTTGTCCTGATCGGGGTTCACCATCAACACCCTATCATCACCACTGTTGCCACCGTGATCATAACCATCCTCATCACTACCCTCCATCATTTAACCAACATCATGATCATCACTGTCATCATCACCACCATCTTTATAATCATTCACCACCACCACCACATCACTATCATCATCACCACTGTTGCCATCATCATCCCCACCGCCCCCATCACCAGCATCATCGTAACCATCCTCACCATTGTCTCGCCATCCCTGTAGCCATCATCATCACTATCTCCGCCATCACCACCATCTTATCGTCACATGACCGTCACCACCACCGTCTCCACCATCGTCACCACCACTGCAGTTACCATCATGGTCTTACCATCACACCGTCATCGCCACCAACACTGCCAGCTCATCTTCACCAGCCCCATCTTAGCCTCACATAACCATCATCCTCATCACCATCTGCACCATCAGCAGCAGCCGCGTCTTCACCATCATTGCCATCAACACCTTCACTCTCGTCATCACTGTCTTTGTCAATCTCATCACTATCCTTCCCCTTCCCAGGTCTCCCATCCTCTATATGTCCTTGCTGACCAACTCTCTACCTGGCATAGGAGTTGTTCCTGAATCGCAGATATGATCATGATCGTCATGGTTTGTAACTTCCCACTGTCCTCAGAACAAAGGTCAAAATACCTTAGCATTTGACCATTCACAATCTGACTCCAGCCTAGTGCTCCAAGCCCATCTCCCCCAGCCCCACTTTGTATCCCTACAACACAGGGCTCAGCCTCCCAGAAACACTTCCATGAACATATTGCATCTTTCCACGTGGCTCAGGACATGCTCTTCTCTCAGTCTGGAATCTCCATCACCCTCTCTGACTCCTGCATCCTGCTAATCCCACAAGGTTCAGATCCGTGCTCCTGCCTCAAAGAAGAAAGGGTCAGATCTCCTCACCTGGCTTCATCTCTGCCCTAACCCCCAGGCAAGTATCCAGTCACGTCAACAGCTCCTGCCAATCATATGGTTGTAGCAACTCCCCACTGGACGGTGAGCCCCAGTGGCTCAGGGACGGCATTTCTCTTCTTGACACCATCCCTGCACCCACCCCATCCCGGTGCTGGTTGCACAGTGAAGGAGCCTAATGAGAGCTTGATAGTAGAAAATGAATGAGGAAGCTGGCCAGAATGGAGGCAGGAGAAAGGAGGAAGGAAATGAGGAAGGAACAGGTCAAGCAACCTTCATCCAGAGCCCAGCCCATGGCCAGGTCAGCACCTCCCCAGAGCCACCCTCAGAGGATGGAAGAATCATGGAGGCCCCTCTGTGAGGAAAGGAAGAGCCCCAGCTTTCTTCTCAAACACCACCATCCTTATCTGATCCTCCAGTTTGCTGGGGAGGGGGCTGCAGCAGACAAGAGCCACGTGGCCCAGGAGCCCGAGCCACATGCCAGCTCCCACTACCTACACTCCTTGCCTTGGGTACCATGTCCCCAAGGATGGTGGGCGATCCATTCAGTCATTCATAAACATTTACTGTGCACCTACTAAGTTCATACCCTGTACCAAGGAGATAATGTCAGCAGAGGTTGACTCGGGCTCATGCTGTCTTTTGAGTTGGGTTTGGCACTGAATACCAAGGTCACCACTTCCCACCGGAACCTCCCTTGTCTTCTGCTCTGAAAACTCACTGCACCCAGCATCTCCCTATGGTGCTCCTCAGGAAAGGTATCTGTTCTTGTTGAAGCAGACCCTTGATGCAGGCCACTGTCCCCAACATTCTTGGGTCAAAGGCCAGTGTTTGCACCCTGACTCTAGAAAACACAGTCTTGTAGCATGACCTTTGGCAGGAGATGTGCCATCTGTCCTACCCACTAAAGAAGGGTGGGACTTCCTCCTTCCCCAAAAGCTAAAAGAGTAGCCCAGCTACTGCCCCCAAGGGGCCCGGCTCACCCCAGTCAAGGGTGCTACTGACAGTCACATCCAGGGGGCCCAGAGCCTGGGCAGGGACAGGCAAGAAAGAGCAGCACATCTCTGCAGCCCTGCCTGCAGGGAGCTGACCCCCACCTGGGTGGGGCAAGGAGGGGCTCCCGTGTGGAGGAGGAGGGACACTGTGACTCCACCTGTTCCTCTTCCATTCCACACCCCAACCTTGGCGCTGTGATGGGTGTGGAGGTGTCACTCAGCGGGACTTTCTTTTTACAAGCATAGGAACTCTACTCTCCAGAACTCCGGAGCTCAGAAAGCAGCCACATAGCTGTCTCAGGGTCTGAAGTCCAGCCCCTTACAACATGGCACTGCCCCTCAGGCATCACCAAGGCCAAATATGGGGAAGAGACACCGAGGGAAGGGGCTGAGGGGACAGGAGGACAAAGGCCACCAGCACAGGAAACAGGATCTAGAAAGACAGGTAGATTCAACCCTAATGTGAAAATAGGTTGTGACTGCCCACTTTCAAGGGGACAGAGCACGAAACCCTGCCACCTGAGACTCTGAACTCAGTGTCAGCCTCAAAGGGCCCTCATAGCAACTGTTTTGCAGAGGGGAAACTGAGGCCAGAGCCAGTAGCTTCTCTCTTCACTTCAGCGCTCAATGCCCCTCACAGGCCTCTTCGGAGAGCAGGACTGGGGAGTGTCCACACTAACCACAGCAGGCTGCTGGACATGGCAGGGCTTCCTCTCTGGGGATAGCCTTGAATGCCGAACTCCTGCTCTGAACGTGCCCAGCAGGAAGGGCCCAGGGCCAGAGGTTGCAGTTGGCCCCACTCAGCACAGGCGACTTGGTTCAGGTCCCTTTCCAGGACCCATTCCTGTGCCACATCCTCTCCACCTCCCACTCCACCCCTGCTCCAGCCTCTCTCCTCACTCACACACCTCTGCCACTTGCTTTTCTGCCCTCTTGTTGTAAGCCACCTCTTGATCTCCCCGGGGTTCCCTGCCCTGCTCCTTTCCCAGAATCCTCTCTTCTCACCCATCTTTCTCACTCTCCATCCCCCTCTCTCATCTCTCTCTTTCCTCTGCGTGTCTGGCTGTCCGTCTCAATGTCTCTGTCCTTGTTTTTATCTCTCTCTCTCTCTACCTCTCCAAACTTCTCTTTCCCCGTGTGTCTGTCTCTCTGCACATCTGTCTCCTGTCTCTGTCTCTCTCGCTCATCTGTGTCTACATCTATCTCTGTCTCTTTCTGTCTGACTGGGCGTGTGGGCATCAGTGTCTCCTCTATCTGTGTGCATGTTGCTCAGGACTTTGTGTCTTTGTCTCCACCTCTCTCCCTCTCGTGTGTGTGTGTGTGTGTGTGTGTGTGTGTGTGTAGCTCTCCTCTTATCTTTCCCATTTCTCCCTCCAGCCTCCATTCCCACCCCTGGTCACTCCACCCAGACCAGCCCTCTGGGGTGCGAGAGGCCCAGGCACACACAGCCCGGGGAATGGGGCTGCCCACCCTGCCACCCCACTGCGCCCGCCTGCATGTGTTTCTGCTCACATACGGGTGTTTGTTGACCTCTCACCTGGTGTTGCCTGTACAGCTGAGAGCCAGCTTTCACGTTGATTACCTCATTTCCTCTTGACAATGACTCTGTGAAGAAGGCAGAGGGGGAAAAAGGCAGGAATTATCACTTCTTTCTGCACGTAGGATGAAGACAGAGTCCCAGAGAGCTTGAGCGGCTGTCTAAGGTCACACAGCTGTCAGGGCTGTCTTCCCAACAGAAGCCTCCACAAAAATTTATGAGGGTGTCTGTGTACAGTGTGTTCCAGCCCCACACGGCACCCAGTAGTGCCTAGTCGCCTCCCTCTCTGACTGCAATGAGCTGCCTGAACCCTGAACTCTCTGGGCTTGGTCTGACCTAGATTCTTCCAGATCAGCCAACCTGACTCCGGGGGCACAGAACCGCAGTCCCAGGATGTGCCCGTAACCAGAGGCATGGCAATTCCTGGAAATCAGCCTCTGGCGACTGGGTCAGGTCTTGCAGCGTGGCACAGGGTAGCATGTCCCAGGTGGTAACGAGCAGCGCTCGGCTGTGCCGATGAGTGCCCTCCCTTCCCTGCACAGAGCGGCCCACACCAGCATGCCATGGGCATCCTTTGTCTTGGGCCTGGAACGCAGCCAGCAGCAAAGCAACCCAGGAGGGTGAGCTCGGTCACCGGGGAGGGGCTGCTTCCCGCACAGGGCTGCTGCCTGCTGGGCAGCCCCTCAGCGTCCACAGCCACCTCCAACACTCATGCTCCACCTTGCTCAACATCCTCCTGCCATGTGCTGCCGACCACTGTCTACCCTGGCCACCCCTCGTGAAGCAGAGAGCACCCTCACCCCCAGCCAGTAACCTGGTGCCGTCAGTGACTCCTCAACACCCCTCACCCCTAAACCAGGTCCTGGATGGAGTCCCAGGAAAGCCGCCTCCGCGCATCTGACTTTCCAAGCATCCTGACATCAGTGAGCTTCCTCTCTTGACTCTGTCCTCATGCTGACTGAGTGGCCTTTCATTATCACTGACTTCCTCGTAGAGTCACCTCCCAGAAGAGAATATGCTGAGCAGGGCCATGAGGTCACCCGACTCACCGTGACACTAGTGGCTGTCTTTGTACTATTGCTTGGTATTGTCATTTACCAGACAGTAAAATAGAATAGAACGTCCAAATCAGAGGGAGAAATCTGGGGACATTTACATAGCAGCAAAGATCATGATGAAAGCAGAGGAAATAAGAGTGTGCACTAACTTCAAACACCTGGAAGGCTATTCTGGAATAAGGTATATGTTTGTTTCTGTGGCCTTAAGACCCACGTGCGGACAGATTTAAATGGAAGTACTCCTTTGCTAAACAAAAGACAGTGAGCTCCCCATCACTGGAGGTATGCAAGGGAGCTATGCAGACCTTGGCAGGAATGTTGCAGAAAGGTATCATTCTTGAGGCTTCCCCCTGTCTTTCCACTGCTAACACATTCACTCAATCATGAAATTTAAATGACTTGTAAATCTGCCTGTCCTCCTCCATCTACACAGCCACCACTCCAGGGGGACCCACCATCCTTTCCTGTCTGGACGACACCAGTAACCCCGAGATGCCCTTTGCATCCAGTCTGGCCTCCTGCCCCTCATGGTTTCCCACACAGAAGCCAGAATGACATTCCTGAAGCAGGAGTAAGCTTATTCTGTTCACCACCGCAAACCTCACCAGGCCTCCATTGCCCTCCCGAGAGAGCCAAAAGTCCATCGTGTGGCGACCAGGCCCTTCTCTCCTGGTCCTAGCTCCCTCTTGGGGGTATCTTCACCACCTACACTCCCATACATGGCGTCAGCCAGGCGGGAACACCTCCTCCTCCTTCTCTTTCTCCTTCTTCTCCCTTCTTTCTCTTCCTCTTTTTCTTCTCTTTCCTTTCCCCTTCTCCTCTCCTTCTCTTCCTCTTCCTCCGCCTCCTTCTTCCTCCTCCTTCTTCTTCTCCCTCTTCTACCTCTTCTCCTCTCCCTCTCTCTCTCTCTCCTCCATCCCCACTTCTACTCCCTGCCTTGGCAGACACCACCCTCTTGACTTGAGACACTCCCTATGCCCCTGCTGGGCCTGCCTGACCAACTCCTATTTGTCTGAGCTCCAACCTATTTGTCTGAGCACCAGTCTAAACTCCGACCTCTCTCCCAGTGTGCCCTCCTGGGCCCCCAGACACACGCCCAGCCTGGCGAGGCTCCTGCAGGAGCCTGGCTTTCCCTATCCACAGCCCATATCATGTTGACTCACACATGGCTTCCCCGCAAGACTAGGAACCAGAGTCTGTTCGCCACAGCAGCCTCCACACCCCACGCCAGCCACACTGAATGGGCTCAGGAAAGGAGATAGAAGCCGGGTGGAGGCTGCCTTTGAGGTCCTGCCTGACCTGCCTTCCTAGGGTTCACTCTGCATAATTTGGAAACCATTGTCACCAGGGCTTCATTGAGCTCTGGCTCTGGCTGACATGATCTCAGAGTTGTCTGGGTCTCACGTGTCTTCTCCAGCCAGCCAGTTGCTGGGAATTGAGGACACAGATATGGCCTCCATGCTCTCCTTGTACACATCAGAGGCCGCCTTTCAGGGTTGAGGCGAAGGGAAGGATGGAACAGGCAGGATTCCATCTGAGCCCCAGGATCTGGGCACTCCACGGCTACTGCCACCATGAATCAATGCTCACAGCGTGCCAGAACCCGTTTCGTGCATTTTTACATACATAAACTTATTTAATCCTTTTAACAACCCTATGAAAGAGGTATTCACATCATCTTTGTTTGACAGTTGGCAAACCTGAGGCACAGAGAGATTTAGAAACTTCCCATAGTCCCACAGCCATACTTATGGGGACAGAGTCCAAACCCACACAGGCAGGCTGGACTCAGACTGTACTGCTCCTGGAACATTCCCTGAGCACGATGGTCAAACTTAAAGGCCACCACCAATGTTGAATCCGTCCAACTGGGGCAATGTGTTGCATTTGTGCAGGGAACAGCTTTCTCTGCAATATGTCTGCAGGAGCATCACTTTCCCAGGTGCTGAGAACCAAGAAAAAACATATCAGGCATGGGTGGTTGAAGAGAAGTCGACAGCCCAGCAGATGCCAGTGGACCCCGTGATTGGAGCCCTCAGACTTCAGGAGGACTGGAATTAAATCGTCAGAGTGGCAAGGGAAGAAAGCTGTGAGTGTGGTTCCTGCCTGGGCTTGTCTCACATAGTTCACAGCCCCAGGCTGGTCATTGCACCCCACTGAGCCTGAGCCTCAGTTTCTTCCCTCATAAAATGGGATGATAAAACCAGCCTTGTGGTCAAAAGAGAGAGAAAGATTAAGAAAGAAGGAGGAAGATTTTTTTTTAATGAGAGAATGCGTTAAAGGGACTTGGCCCAGGGCCTAGCACACAGTAGGCCTTCCATGACAGAGCTCAGATCTGGATGTAACAGCCTACCCAGCTTATGTGCCCCAAGAAGAACTGACAGGCCAGCCAGAGAGAAAGGGCAGCACAGGGCCATTAGAAAATGTGTAAGCCTTACTAGGGGAGGGGACAAGCCCTTGAGGGACAAAGGCCAGTGTGACTGCCAGCCCACAGGTTCCGAACCTCTTGGCTGTAAGCCACCTCCAAAGAGTCTTAGGAGAGCCCATTCAGCTGGGTGGTTTTATCTTGTGACAGCTGAGGGAAGGGGCTCCGCTCCGTTGTCCTCCACCCCCCCCTTCCAGTCACAAAGAAAATACAATTTATCTGGATTGTAAATCAGGGGCTGCAAGGGGGAAGCCCGAATCCTGATTTCCAAGAAGCATTGACAAACCCCGCTGAAAGTCATTTCTGCAGCCACGGATGGCCCACATTCAGAGGAGGGGTGTCCAGAGCTGAAAGTGACTGCCGCAGAAATAAAATAACCCCTGACAGCGAGTAAATGGGGAAACGGGGACCACAGAGGGAGAAGGACTTCTCCAGGGTTGATTGGGGATATGGTAGCAGAACTGGAGCTCAGGCTGGACCTCCAAATCCCATGCTGTCTCTCTCACCTGTGCCAGGTAGAGGTAAGATCAAGGATGAGAACCCTATGGTGTAACTCCAGAGGTGAGACTGAATTGAGGGGATCCCAGATGCCCCTTTCCTGATGTGAGGAGCTATGGGGACCAGCAAGAAGAGGAACCCAGGCAGGCCCCAGAGCCCCCAAGAAATCCAAACCATCGTCACCCTCAGATTTGCTGGGTATAAGGAGACTTGTGACCAGTGGCAGAGAAATAAAGTGGGCGTCAGACTGCCCGGTTCAACCCTCCTTCCATCCCTACCACGAATGGTGTGTACCTGGAGTTTAACCCGTCCAAGTCTCTGCTTCCACATCTGCAAAGGGTGGGGAGGGCTTTTTGCTTCTGAAAGTTGCTGGGAAGATTCACCGGGATAACTTGCGCCAAAGGGCATCCGTGCCTGACATCCAGCAGGTTCTCAGCCCATGCTTGGGAAGTGCAGCAGATCCCAAGTCAAGGGCTTCAAAATGTCCTGGGGAGACTGGAAAATTCTATTGAGTGTTTGGGCAGGGTAGAGTGTCTGGGCCAGGCATCTGCCAAGGCCTGACTGGGCCCTTTCTCCTGGGCCCCCAGATATGGGACCACTCTAAAGAGAAAGGACAGGGTGGTGGATGGCACTAAAGCAAGAACAGAACCCGGGAACCCATCCAGCTCTACCACTCACCCTTCACGCCAACCTAGACATACACCCCTCTGGTCTACCTGGTCAATTTGCTTCCCTTCTGGGATCACATTTCCCCACCTGCAAAATTAGGTTGTTGTCTTTTACCCTCTTAAAATGCCATTGCTGCCGTAACATCACAGCATGGTGGAAGACATCACTGCGCCCTCCTGAGCCTCAGTTTCCCCCTCTGTGGAATGAGAATAACATCACCTCCCCCTCAGGGAGTTCTGATCCCAGTATGCTGTTGATTTGCTGAGGGACCTGCACTGGCAGTATGTGTTTTGGGGCCCTTTCCTTCTAAATGCTGTTCATAAACATTTCCACAAAGATACAAGCACAAGTAAGATCAAGGATGAGGTTGCAAAGGAACTGAGGTGTCCTCAAGTCACTGGACCCCAGTGGTTTAGAA